GTATTGCACACCCATTGCGCAGACGTTTGTCATCACCACCGTTTGGTTCAACTTCTTGATCCACTTTTTGTACTTTGGAGTGAACTAAACTCCATAAGCATTTTCAAAGATGATTTTAAATTGTTGTATGTGCCCTCATCCAATTAAACCCATGATTACCTGATTTTTATAAGCGCCCTTCAAACATTCAAGCAATGCGCAGATCATCGAGTTGCCGATCGTTTGCAGATTAAAACGGTTGACCTGAAAAACGCTCAAATTTTTTAGATTTTCTATTTGCGTCCTTATAAACGTTAAATCAAAATATAGTAGACTATTCTAACCCACCGCGACAAGTGTCGTCAGCGCCATTGCATCCACTGCGACCTTTGCTGCCGTACCCGGGTTGTATTCCGTAGTGCAACCGACTAGCGTATCCAAGTTGTCCGTCGCGTATTCCGTTACCACTGCAACATATTGAGGTATTGATTTTGGCTATTTCGTCGGCTCGTACAGGCTTTTACAAGTAAGGGCCGTGAAAGTCACCCCTTATCTCTGGTTCAGTTTACATTGGGAAATGTTACGCCTTGTCAGGGTAGTTTCGAAACCGAACTCCTCCAGCCCTTCCCCCGTGACAGGGTGTACGTTAGTTTACAGCATCATTCACTCCTTCACGGTTTTGTTTTTGAATTGTCAAGGTGTTTCTTTACGGTTTTCGGGCTAAAGGCTCGGATTTCACCGTTATGTTGCCTCTTGGAGCTTATTGTTTACAATGCTTTCAATGTTAATACATTTTCTTTAAGTTACGGAAGTAAGGGCTCAAGCAACTTATAACCTAAAACTCACTGCCTCCAACTTCGCACATTGTCGGTACCGCCTTGTTAAGCGCCGTTAGGCGCTTCTGGATCCAGGAAAGTCCGTAAGTGCCGAGACCTTCGGCAAACTAAACGAGACAAATTTTTTTGAAATCCCGTTACCACGGCGGTCCTCTTTTTGCTTATTACCTACCTAATTTTATTTGTCCTACTTCTTGTTCCTATTAACTAGGTCCTTTTTACTCCACTCTATCAAGCCCTCACAGCGCGCTAGAATCGAACCCTAAGTCGACAGCTACGCAACCCACCGCTCCTCCGGGGCACTTTTCGAAAATCGTTTTTCTAAAGTCGTTCTGCCAAGTCATATTTTTGAAAATCAGAATTTCGAAAAATTTGGATTTTTTTCTCGATTTCTTGCCGCGCAGCGGAGTTCCTGTTGATAGCTGGCAGCAAATCTTTTTGGGTTTTTTCGAAATTATCCTTTTTGGAACACCGCTTTCGAAAATCAAATTTTCAAAAATAGGTATGCGAATCTTTACCGTCATCAGTATCTCGAATTTGATAACTGTCAAGACCTAGCCGATAGGAAGGGTCGATTCTGGCGCTTTGTAGCCACTCTAAAGCCAGTCCGAAACTTAACAAATTCTGCGACGCTGGCTTGATTAATTGAGCTAAAAATCTGTCTCATGAAGCGTTTGACTTTTTGCTGATCCAAAAAGTGTTTTTTTTTTTTGCTAGGGACCTTACCAATATACTTTCAAATATACAAAGCTTAAAACTCACCGCCCACAACACTTTCTTGTCAATGATATTTTTCGTCTTGATAAACTGCTTCTGGATTAAATCCAGCAACTTGTTGCATTTTTTCGGAATCTTCGTACTCGCCGTCACCGAACAGGCACCATTAGCCAATTCGAAAAAGCACAAGACGCAAATGACAAAGAGTAGTGCCCGCATGTTCAACAGGGTTCACGGTAGCCGGGAAGTAGCCAGCGAATTAGCACCATACTTCCGAAATACGCGAATTTATACGAGGCTGAGTGTGTATTGAGCATAATCCGGCGGAAGCTGCGGCGGAACCTCTAAAGGTTGCGCCACTCTTCAGCACTAATTGCGCGATACGAGCGTTTTCGCGAGTTTTCGACCCCCGCTTTGTACTCGGCGCTGAAAATAGGATCCGCGGGCCGCGGGCTCGCGGAGATCGGCATCAAAAAATTATACCGTGGCCGTGAACTTTGAAGCTCTACTGCATAGACATTCTTTTCTTTTTTTCAATCATTTTAAACGTCATTGCGCAAGAGCGTACAGGGGTCGGTAGGAACGGAGTGCTGTCTGTGGTAAGGCTCCCTAGCAGGGTTGGTCCATTTGGTATCCGGATAATATCCGGATAATATCCGGATACGGGTATGTATCCATACCCGCCGCATTAGCATATGTTCTTTGGATACGGATACAGTTACGGATACTACCCGGTATCCGTTGCGGATACTTTGGATACTTCCGGTTTTTATGCAAATCACGGTATTCATTTGTGTTTTGTATGCAAGTCTTTACGACAAGATATTTCGTTTAAGTCTAAATACAAGCACTATGCAGTTACAATGTTACATCCACCGATTGGACAGCACAATTGTGCACAAGAAGATTTCCTTTATTTTTGAAGTTTTCTTAGGTGGTTCTGTCGTCTGGGTTCTCGCCTTGGTGTCATGTACTTGGAACTTAAAGCGTTGGCACATTGGGGATTTGTTAGAATTACCGATACACCCGTTTTTATCCGTTTTCGATGCGGCTGAGGAGTGATGGTGAATCTGGGTGTTAATGTTGATCGTTTCCATACAAAACCAAGCTGAATACCGTGATTTGCATAAAAGCCGGAAGTATCCAAAGTATCCGCAACGGATACCGGGTAGTATCCGTATCTGTATCCGTATCCATACCCGTATCCGGGGAAGCCATGCTAATTTTGGATATGAGTACGGATACATATCCGGATACCAAAGTATCCGTATCTGCCCAAATTAGCATAGGTTCACGGATACGGATATATATCCGCATGTCCGAAAATGGGTACCGATGCTGGATACGGATATTAAAATGACCAACCCTGCTCCCTAGTCAAAAACCCGACGTCCGCAAGTCCGGGAATTATTTCTTATTGGTCGGCCTCCTCCGCTATCGGGATCCACTGGTTTAGGCCAGGATTTTGACCCGGCTCCCCGGGGAAACCATCTGCTCGCTCCGCCGGCATGCCCCAGGTAGTCAATGATAACAATCTGGCGCCATTAATAGAAGAGTTCCGTTATTTGGGGCTTTATAGCAATACTTTTATATTTGTAAAAATTATGTTGAAAAATTTATAATGTGCATCATAACGACCACGGTACAATCAGGCACGGCACATACGCTTTTGGCTATCCCCTTTTTGTTTCTAGGGCTGGTGCTTTTTATTGATTCCGGAACATAGTTATTAAATTTAGCACAGTTGTTTAAACAAATTAATACGAAGACCCTGAGTTGCATCTTATACCGTGTAATAGCTGAATTCTTCGAATAGCGTTTGTGCAAGGAAGCGCTTTGACATGTCATTAGAATGATTCTCAAACCAGCCTGAATAACTTTCAGGTATTTTTCTTATAGTCATGCAAAGCTCTCTATTTTTCATCATAAGCTGACTGAAAAATAGAATCTAACTTCAGAGCTCGCTTAGGGCATGATTTCCATCGCTAATATGCATTGTATGACGTTTTTAACATTGTTTTACAAATATAAAAGCATTGCTATAAAGTCTCAAATAACGGAACTCTTCTATTAATGGCGCCAGATTGTTATCATTGACTACCTGGGGCATGCCGGCGGACCGAGCAGATGGTCCCCGGGGAGCCGGGTCAAAATCCTGGCCTAAACCTCGGCGTCGCCGCTATCGAAGGCATTGATTGAGTCGTTTGCCCGAAAGTTTTGGGGGGCGGGGAAGATGGCTGAAAAGAATGATAACGTCGCGGGCTGCGAATAACTTTTATTATTGCGCTCTCAAAAATCAACAGTTCTGGATATTAAATTTTAGGTTTGTACATATATGCATGATGGTCTGGTATCCGAAAGAGTTTGTGTCATCGAAAGAGCGCGATTTTTACGGACGGACTGATGACCGCTACACACTGGTGGCATTCAAGCGGTCAGTCAAGGTTTTCATTTTACACGGCTTTCCTCAAAAGTCCCATAATTTGTTGTAAAAAATTGTCTATTTTTTCCTGCTGTTCAAAGAATTTGAACGAACAGCAGGGTCGTCCATAAAATCTAAAAAAACAACGGCCGATATCTACATGTTCAGAATATTTTCAACGGGCTACTTTCCCAACAATACGCACGCCCGGGATTTTTTCAAAATGTCTAAAATCCAATCGCATAAAATCCGAATGCCTACATTTCACAATGGCTAAACTCAGACAGCATAAATTTCAAAATGCATATATTTCGGAATGCATCAAGTTGCAGAATGCATAAATCCCAGAATATAAATTTCTGAATGCATAAATTTTGGAATGTCGAAATTTTCACGAGTTAAATTCGGTGATTGGTTTAGGATTAGTATGAATCAAATTTAGTCACAGTCAATATAGTCAATATAGTCGTAGTCAATTCAGTCACAAAATTTATGCATCCTATGATTTATACATACTGCAATTTATGCATTTTTGAAATTAAGTGGTTCGGAAATTTAGGCCTACTAATTTTATGCCTTCGGAAGTTGGGAATTATGATTTTATGCAATGTGATAGCAAATCCGCGCGCCGCAAGAGTGTTCGCTGGTTTCATTTTGTTTGAGGTTTTCGTATATGGCGAAAACGAGCGCGCGTGTGGCTTTACGTTTGTTCTGACTTTGGGATGCAGCCAAAAAAAGTATTTTCCTAGTATTCACACGGAGGGTATTAGGTATTGTGAAGGGCGGCGTAATGAAAACGACCTGTAGCTTTAAGCAGCGCGCACAGGCGTCTTACCGGATCTTCGAGTTCATAGCAAGTGCTATGCGCAAAGCTTATCGATAAAGACTACGACATCGTGACGACTCTCTGGTTCAGTGAGCTGCTCTGGCATGTCTACCTACTTATCGAAGAAACCGGCGTAAAGCTGCTAGAAAATCAAAGATGTTTTGTTCGAGAAGCAGCCATTCAACGCCGGTTCATAGACAAGCCCCACCGAAATATCCGGATGGTACACGGCGGCAAACGCGGAATCCTAGATTTCACCTATGATATGGACGGAAAAACCTATGGTGTGCTAAAATATGCTTACCTTCCACGCAGGCTTGACATGGGTAAGTACTTTAAAAATATCATGCTCGTTTTTGTTACATTGAGGTTATGCGGATGGCGGAGTTCACTAAGAAGCGGCTGATTTTCATAATCTTTTGTAAGGGGCCAATCCAATCCGTTCGACCAAATTAATGAAGACCCGGCCTAACGAGGGGATTTGCTTTTTGAGAACCGGCTAGCCAATTCAAGACATGTCGCAGGGCTCTCAACCTGTTAGGGCCGCTAAGGCAAATTAAAGCTAGTCCAGACTTTGAATCAAGCATGGAACTCAACTAGTCTTACAAGCTTAGCTAATTTCTTAGTAATTAGACCAAACTTCATAGGCAAATATAAGCTTAGCCTAAACCTAGCAGTAAGTTCTCACCCCCTCTCTTGCGCACCAGAGCCTAGCCTACAATCCTAGTTATAATGGACGAGTCTATCAAATACGCTGAGGATGCTGTGTTCTCGGCCGCCTTTCAACTATTGGCAGGGCTAGAGCACCTGCACGAAGCAATAAAAATTACTCATGGAAATTTGAACGTCACAAACATCTTCGTCGATACTGCGGGTGTAATGAAAATTGCCGACTTCAGTCTAGCCCAGGACCTCACTAAGGTAAGGCGAGTTTTAAGACGATTAAAATAAAGTATAAAGATAGCCTAATTTAAATATCAGGGTCTATGGGGTTCTTCGGATCTACGGAGCAACACTAATGGAACTAAATACAGTAACGGACAAAAGTTTATCACCCTCGTTTTTCCGACCTTCTAGAGCGATTTCCCGGAAATCCCCGGCCATAAAACTTTAATTTACAATATACCAGATGAAAAATTACACGCTGATTCCGAATTTGACACTTTTAGAGCCGAAAGATTTGATTTTAAGGGTCAAAATCGCGAATAACTTTTTACCCTTACCCTAAAACAAGGTCAAGAACAAACTTTTTTTTCTGTGACGTTTTCGAGGTGCGCCATTGTGATATTCGGAATCTCCAATGTCAAATTAGCCGGGATAAGTGTTTTCCGGATTTTTATTGGGTGTCTAGACACCATTTCCGGAAACCGAGCAGTTAGCCTTCGACGGCCCTTTAAAAGCGGTTTTCGGCGTACTTTAATAGCGGATCTAGAATTTACAGGGTCGATTACATCAGGAATAGTGTGTTTAGAATGCGAAGAAAACAAAATTATTTTTCTAGAAGCATTTGTTTAGAAAGCGCAACCGCGAAAGGTCAGGTTGTGGAAAGGAGGGCTCGAAACAGGTCAAAAACGATTTTTCACAGAGTTCTCTTGTATCACATCGGAAAGAGCACTATCGAATGTGTAGAAAAACAATGTTCTCAACTATCCGAGATTTATTGATCGGAAGCTGCCAGAAAACCAAAAACCAAAAAATGCTAACTTTTTAATCTGACATTTTCGCAACTTTTCGTTAACAAATTCGGATTCTACGCTATCGAATTACCTAAGATATATCTCTTCCAAATTTTTAAGCGATTCCAACCGTCGAGGAAATTAAAAAGAATTAAATTGTCGTCGACGACCGAAAAAATGTGGCCCGGTCCTGCGATTTCGCTTAACAAAATGGCCAAAAATAAAGTCTCCGTTTCGTATCATAAACAATATTTTCTTACACATTCGATAGTGCTCTTTCCGATGTGATACAAGAGAACTCTGTGAAAAATCGGTTTTGACCTGTTTCGAGCCCTCCTTTCCACAACCTGACCTTTCGCGGCTGCGCTTTCTAAACAAATGCTTCTAGAAAAATAATTTTGTTTTCTTCGCATTCTAAACACACTATTCCTGATGTAATCGACCCTGTAAATTCTAGATCCGCTATTAAAGTACGCCGAAAACCGCTTTTAAAGGGCCGTCGAAGGCTAACTGCTCGGTTTCCGGAAATGGTGTCTAGACACCCAATAAAAATCCGGAAAACACTTATGCCGGCTAATTTGACATTGGAGATTCCGAATATCACAATGGCGCACCTCGAAAACGTCACAGAAAAAAAGTTTGTTCTTGACCTTGTTTTAGGGTAAAAAGTTATTCGCGATTTTGACCCTTAAAATCAAATCTTTCGGCTCTAAAAGTGTCAAATTCGGAATCAGCGTGTAATTTTTCATCTGGTAAATTGTAAATTAAAGTTTTATGGCCGGGATTTCCGGGAAATCGCTCTAGAAGGTCGGAAAAACGAGGGTGATAAACTTTTGTCCGTTACTGTACATATGATATCAACGCTCGACTGCTAGGGCTCCAAGCACGATACCAGGGGCGAAAGCTGCTACGCGGCTTTTCACCCTCGATAACTCCCCATTTTTCATTTCCTAAAGGTGGGCCAATGTGAAGACGCTATGTCCCTATGGATTACAGTGTGGCAAATAATGAAGCGAGAGTCAGTTGTCATCCGGAAGATAAATCTATATTTTAAGCATCAAGAATGCGGGACAGGATAGGGCAGAGCTGCGTAGAACTATTCCAAGTCCGAATCTACAGCATATCCCACATATAATCTCCCAGTGAGGTGGCTTAATAGCGACCCTTTATTGATTTTAGGTCCTATCAGACGCCGGTGAAAACTGTAAAAGAATTGAAAGCTGAGATCGAATGGCTCGTGCCGCAAGTAGGTGAACATCTGAGGGCTCTCAAGTCCGGCAAAAGCAGATTTGCTCTGGCTCTTGCTCCCGCTAACCACTCTACCTACCATTTCTACCAGATTTTTACCAAGACGTGTTTTTTAGTGATCCTGGGATTTCGAGATGGAACGAAGCGTTTTGTACAGAATTTTACGCTGACTTCGAAGCAATTTTCAAAAGGTGCCGAACGACAATTTTGAAGAACTTACGAGATTTTTAATGTCAAAAAAGGTCAAAATTAAAATGGGCTATTACACGCCAACTTTTCGAAATTTTCGTAAAGTTGTGTAAAAATCGTTTTTCTGCCACTATATGACCTTGCAAGTTCTTCAAAAACGTCGTTCAGCTTTCTTTAAACACGGATTCGCAATCAGCATAAAATTCTGCACAAAGTAGGCTTTACCGGATCACTAAAAAACCGCTCCTTGTTGTGAAACGTTTTATTTGAATTCTCCTCGTTTTGATGAATGACCCGAAGCAGCCCTTTTCGAGATCAGTTTGTCAGTTGCCTGTCAGTTGTCAGTTGTCAGTTGCGAGATAGTACTGCTGCTTTTCTATGGATTTTACCGCTTATAGGTTTGCCGGCGGCAATTCCATAGTCGCGCTTAAATAAAGCGGTAACGGCGGGGAAGGAGCCTGCAGCCTTTCGCTTGGGCGAGGCCGTCGCCGATCAACTAACCTTACAATAAGTGATCGCGGACGATATGAATTTCCAGGACGTCGACTGGCCGAAAAACACGTTTGAAACGTCCTTAGCCAGCGCGCCGGGCCTCAGCCCACCGATCCCTATGCAGCAAGCTCGCCGAGCTCTGAATACCCCTAAAGTTCATTCAAGCTCGGGCCACTCGAAAACAGCCGTATTGCCGCAGGCGGAGGCAATGGAGGTAATGGAAGTGGCATTGCTGATGGGGCCAGGCGGGCCACTTTTTGTTTGTTTTTATTCGACGATCCTATATGTAGCATCAAAAGTACTTATGGCCGAATACCTATCGGATGGTCGAATAGTCAAACCCGATCTTAAACCTGCGGAACGATAGAGGGATTCCAATTTTTGGGACACCCAGTAGGCCATTGAATATTGGATCGCGGGTTTTTGCCGGATGTTAAGCTTTTGAAATGGTAGTTACTCGGGTTTGACAGTCCCAAAAAGTTTGCGATGAAAGGATTCTCATCGTTACAGGGTTTCCCCGAAATGATCCCTGGATGCTGTGTAGATCCCGATAAAATTTGGAATGTAAACAGGAACCAGGATTGGGGGCGGGGCATTCCAAGAACCCCATTTGTTGATCGCCAAATCAGCAACTGCGACAACTTCAAAACTAACAGAGCCGCAAGCACTTCGGGGCAGGGGCCAAAGGCGCCCCCCCGCATGGGCCTGAACGTGCGCATCAATATCTTTAATTTTTCTACCCGCAACATTTTTCCATTAATTTCACCTTTAGGTGGCGATACCACGAGGAAGTGGAACAGCAGGAACCATGGACGAGACGGCCGGTACATCAGCCTCCAGTTACATGTTTTCCTATTCTAGATAATTCTTTTTGCGCCTGTCTGTAAAATCTTGGCCTTACATGTGATTGCGGTACTGATATAAACGTTTCTACTATATATAAAAAAATAGTGTGTGCGTACCACTTTGCCTGCAACTTCCGTCGCCGTGTCCGTAGAATGCCTCAAGAGGGGAAGGTCTTACGCTACGTATAATATGTATGTATGATACGTGGCACACATAAAAACACTATTTCTGGTGATATATAGTAGGATAATAATAATCAAGTTCAAAAGTATATCAAAAGCATCAGAAGCGCGTATAGCTTGCAGCTCAAGGATTGAACAGTCTTAGGCTACGTATGATGCATCATCAAGTGAATAATGGCCCCAAGGTGACTGCACGCATATCAGATTTTGCAATCAATAAAATGAAGTTTTTTTTTCAAAAATCGAGCCTTCTTGTTAGGAGAGTAGCACACTGGAAGTAGCCAATTAGTCAAGGTGGCCGATACAATGCACAATGTATAATCCGACATTCATTTTTTATCGGAACTCACTGAAATTATGCAACTTGAAAAATATATCGGGAATAGACAACGTATGGCCGAAAAGTCCCAAAGCAGCTTTTCAGGCCTTGTCTTACCTCATAATTTTGGCTTATATCTTTGTGTGTCTGTGGACGTCCGTTTCGAGGCCTGATTGGAGGGTCTTCCTGTGAATAAAGTTCTCTAATTCTCCGTCACTGGGGCAATCGACCCTTATGTTTCCGATGATGCTTTCAGAATTTCGAAAAAATATATAAGTTTACAAAGTTAGAGCCGGTTTTATTCATTATTGGGGTCCTTGAAGGCTAATTTGCATAATCTGAAACAATACAAATTTTCTCATCCTTGCAAGCTGCACGCGTGGGTTTGGCCGGGAGAGGGGAAAGGGAACCGAAGGACGAAAGCTTTCGGAAAACCAATTTCTCAGGCTACAGCCGTAGTCCAGCGCCCAAGGCCCGCGAAGCGGGTTTTAGGCGCTGGTTTGAAATCATCATGAAAACAGAGTTTCTATTCTTGTGGTAAGCTGTCATGAATTTTACAATCCTTACAGGGCATCGCATTGCCTGCAGTTTCGTAAACAAACTTTCCTTAAGTAATATTACGCCCAAAGTGCAACCGTTGCATCCAGCGCAGCCTTGCCCTAGGTTTGCTGATAAAGGCAAGAAAAACGAAAAAGGTGCATCTGTCCTTCCCCAAACCACAATTTCCTGTTGCTTAATCAATATTGCAGAGAAGGTTGTCTGCCGGCCGCCTCATTTTTCCCTAAGTCTGCACGAAATGCCCTGGTATCCGCAAGGATTCAGCTTCACTCCAACACAGGGATTTGTGCGCGCAAGAAAGGACCGCTATGTCTTATGGGATATCGAGAGGTTAGACGTTCCGAAAGATTTCCAGTTTTCCGATATTTGTTCCTAACTAAGTAAGTCGCATTGAGGGCAGGTGCAAGCCTTCTTTGATGAATTTTTCGTCGCCGCGGCGAAGTTTGAAAGCCTTGAGGGTGCGGGGACGCGAAAATCTCGAGGTCCCGCATTTCGAAATTTTTTTCTGACATGGCTTGAACAATTCATCTAATTACAAAATTTTGAGCTCCAGGTTCGTGAGATTGTTCATCAGCAATCGCATATTTTTTACCCCAGGATACGGTTGATTTTTATTATAAGTATTCAATGAGATTTTTCGAGGGACTTAAAATCCACTATTGCGGCCAGTTTGCAACAAAAAGCGCTGTAACTTTTAAATTCCAAACATTGCATAAATTTGGAAAACAAGCACGGAATCAGCGACAAATTCTCCACATAATGCGTTAAATCCCGAATAGAATTCCCAGCCTATCGAAAAACATTTTCCAGTCAGTTAACGTTCGCTTGCTTTCAGCAAGACCGTATGGAAGGTCTATCAGCTCACGGATGAGAAGGGCAAACCCCTTGATGAGAATAAGAGGCACTTTCAAAGGGAAGGTTTTAACAACGTCCGACTACTGGGATCTCGCCATAGAAACATACGGGCGATACGGCAGGGCGGAATGGATGTCTATAAGAAGGACGGAGTAGATTATGGCGTGCTGATATTCGATTATCTTCCACAGTGCCTCGGAAAAGGTATGCTTTTCCAGAAAATCGTTGGAGTCAATTTTCATTTTTATCTTCAAACCTGTGTTGGAACACCGCATCGCGGCAATTCCGCCGTGGCCCCCCTAGGCCCCACTGCATTTCCCCTTTCAAAAAGCTATTTCTGCGACAAAACATAAGCTTGCCGGAAGCTTTTAGTAGTGTGTTTTTAAACTTTTAGTTAGGCAATGCACATGACAACGTGTTAAGCAACACGCCAGCAAAAGTTTTAAATTGGTTCAATTAAATTTGAAACTTACAGTGAATTATTGTCTATTCAAAAGCTTCTGGAATAAAAATGAAACAAGACTCTGGTAACCATTGTTATACCATTAGAAAGCCTTTAAAACGGCGAGTCCGCGACTACCCTTGCGACAATGTTTTGATTTAATAGCGTAATTTTAGAAGACATTTTCTGAAAAGTTTCCGTTTTTTGACATTTCGCAGGAGATAATTTGCCGTAATTTCTCTGAATGAAGCAGCCGGAAACAGCCGCTAATTCGATGCAAAGACGATTTCTTAATTTATTTAATCTTAATAACACAGCGCCAGAACAAAAGGTTTTAAATAATACATGGTCATTAAGTTAGTACGAAACTCGTCGAGGGATTTCGAATGGTGTACCTAACATTCGGAGCAGGCCCGACTACTTCTAGTTAGAGGATTTTTTTTGCGGCCCTCAGTTGATCCCAGACTTGGGCGGACCTTAAATAACAACAATCCTGAGCTACAGTTTAATAGCTCGAACTCGAAAACTCGCAAACTATCGGCTTGTACGTCAGCATTTCTTTGATCAGGGCTCTGATTCAATTTTGAGACTTATTGCATGTAAGGCGGACAATACAGCGAGTTTTTGGGACACCGTGTGGCAGGAGCTGAAATAGTCAAATTTTTACCCAAAATTTAGTGATCTGGGACTCAGCCACTGCTTACAACGCCGCCGATGTCACGTCGGCAGCGTTTCAACTCACTGAAGGCATACGCCATCTGCACGATGTGTTGGGTTTGACGCACCGGGATATAAAGCCAGATAATGTCTTGATCGATGATGACGGGGCTTTGAAAATCACCGACTTCAATATAGCACTCTGGGAACGTTCCGGAAGCTTACACAGCGCCACAGGAACGCGACGCTATATGCATCCACGACAACTATTTGGAGGGAATGTAAGCATTGCACCTGATTTAATTTCGAGCGTCTGTATCAATTGTATTTTGTTGTGCCATCAACGAGAGGATATGAGGATTCAACTTCCTAGGGGAAGGGATGAAAATCTCCACGGCTCTAGGTCAATTCGTCCTTCTGGGGTCCAAAAACACACCGTCAGGACTCAAATATGACATCTAAGGGCGAAAAGAAAAGAAATGCCATTTCATTACATATATTCCACAGTGGCCCGTTGGTCTTGGCCAAGCCTAAATCCACGAAATGACCTATTTTCGGCAGGTCGGGTTGAAAATTCTCTTTGATTAGCTCTTACATTCCTCTCATTTATTTTATGAGCACGGAAAAGCATTGAAAAATCTTTATTTTTAAGTCTTTGTATTTTTCGCCAAAATTTGCTCAAAATCCATGTGTTGCAAAAAGAGGATAATTTAGTTACACTCCTAACTCAGATTTTAGGTTCGAACGACTGAAGGTCAAATATTTTTTTTTAGTTCAATGACACGGACGACCTATGGTCGCTGGGTGTTCTTATATGGGAACTAGTCACACGAAAGTTAGTGTGATAAGGTAATCTCCATAAAAGTTTAGGAAATGCTTCAATGGAATGTCGCAGGAACAATTGCTCGAATATCGAGAAAATAAGGAATTTGAGGTGCCCCCGTTGGAAGGCGAACATTGGATTACCCAGCTAATCAAAAGGTGAGCCATGAAACAAAAAGTTTATGTACGTTTCTGTAAATCCCATTTCTCGACCGCGATATGGATAGCCTTTAAGATTTTTTCTGGCAGTTAAAGCGTAAATCACTCCTCTTCTTTATATTTAGGCCTAAATTATGGGGGTTTAGAGAAACTTTCCTTAAAATGCCGTCACTTGTTATCAATCGGCACACATGATTGGTGTTGAGGGCATCCCTTAACGCAGACGGCAAGGGTGAAAGGTTACGGGAGCCGAGTAGAGGTTAGGGAGACAGGCATCCTATTAGATGGCTTTCTGGCCAAATGGATAGGTTGCACCTGAAAGCCTCTAGCATGACGCAAAGCGATTTGGTATGCTTAGACGATTTTCTTTGGAAAATGGATGGAGCCGTACTTTTCCGCTGCTTCCTTACAAAAGGGATCAAGACCAACATTGTTATTTTAGGTGCTGTCAAGAAACAAACCAAGAAACCGCTGAGTGGATGAAAATCTGGATCCTGGAACAGGTTTGATAACAGAATCATCTTCAGGGCGTCCAAATAAAAACACCCCTTCTAACTCGACGCAGGAAGGTCCGATCGATATGATAGTTCAAACATTCGAATACCGAGATCGGTGAGTTTGCAACAATCTTCAAAACCATATTTTAAAAGCCGCTATGCTCCAAACAATTTTCTACAATCCAAGCAAAATTAGCGGAAGTAGCCGTTAATTGGATGCAGAGGCCGCTCGCTATTGTGTTGTTGTTTTTAAGCGTGTTGCAAAACGGCGCCTTTTAATAAAACGATGGTTATGAAGATGGTTGCAAACTAGCCGTTTCAAGGGCTTTCGAATGGCGTAACTATCATCCCGATCCGAGTCTTCCTCGTAGAGAGGTAGGGAAGGTTTTTACTGGGACACGCTGCCTGCCAACCGAAAATGCTAGGCAAAAACGGTGAAGACAGTCCGCTCAGGGAGGAGCAAAGCCGAGTTATATTGGTTTGACCGCTAAACCGATTGATACAAGTTCTCCCGGGCCTTCCCGCTCCCTTTTAAAAAAAGTCAGGCGACCAAATAAATTATAGAAACCAATGCCTACAGCAACTTTCCATACCACTCCGGTCCAACCCGCCGAGCTTCGCTTGCCGGCCGGGCTTGAGGCGGTTCGGATTGAGGATACGCCGATCTACCAGATATTTTGCGACAACGGAACATCAATGGCAAACCAGGCTGAATCAGCGGCTTTTTCTTCCTCTTTTGATGCAGTTGGTAATAACTTCTTGGCTTCGGTAAGCTTGATTCTTCTCTCGGATTCAGAGTACGAACTGTTTGTCTATTCCAACTTTATAGCTGGATGAGTACGTCCCGCCAGCCCAACGAAGTACGACAACAGATAAATGCGTTATTAGTTAAAAATACACTATATTCAAAACAAAAAAAATCACATGAATACTAGAAAAATAGAGCAAACAACGGTAATATTTCTATTCAAATTTACGAAAATAAAAAGTTATTACAACCGGATTCTCTTGATCTGGATCTCATCGTCAATTGCGTCGTAGAATACATCATCGTCGGAGTCGGATGTGACGCCGCTCTCTGTGACCGGTGTTGGTAGCTTAGAGCGTTTTTGGGTCTAAAAAAGATTATTATGTTCTTACGTTCCAACTAAATTTAATTTGTTTAACAGAAACGGCTACAATAAAAATTCTCACGTTATTTAAAGCCACAAAAATCAATCCAAAATATCATTATTAAAAATTCCTTTAGTTTAAAAATTATTAAGATAAGAATCGACGTTATTTAAAGCGACAAAAGTATAATCCTCACCGTTGGAATAAATATCACATCATCTATTGAGTTGGAATCGCTATCGGAATCGGTTTCGACGTCGCTTTCTGTGAGTGGTGCTGGCCGAGCAGGTTTTTGTTCCTAAAAAATGATAATAATTTATTGGTATAACTTAATTTTCAGTTTTAACTTAATTTAACTACAATACACAGCTATAACAAAAATTCGGGCGTTAATTTCAAGCTAAATAAAAACAAACCATACCTCCGAATGAGCTATTTCCTCTTCTTCCAGCGAGTTCAAAAAATCATCTTCATCATCCTCATCCTCTCTCGGGTAGAATTCGACGTATTCTCCAGTTTTCTCATCGACAGCAATCTCCCACGTGTCACATTTGTCCCAGGGGCAGCCGCAGCATGATTTTGAACGTTTCCCGACTGAGACGACGGTGAACTGGTTGCCGTCGCCGTGCCGTCCGTAGAGGAACGCTTCCGAGATCATCTTTTCTTGGCCTAAAATTGTAAGAATGTTTTTTGATAGCTTTTTTGCTTTTTTTATTGCTAAAAATTATTCTTGAAATTCTTAATTCAAGATCCTATAAATTGGTTCAATAACTGCTTTGAATAAGAATTTCAAGAACGTTTGTTAAAAATTAATAAAACAGTCGTAAAAATTTCGAAGGATGTTGACTTTTTGGTCAAAAATGCAGCTATGAAAATCGTCAAAAGCTTTGGCAAAAGGAGGATTTATGATGTTTTCCTGGACCTTTGCCCCCAGGAAAATATCACAAATCTTAGTGTTTTTTACCAATTACGCAATCACAATCTACCTTTCAAAACGAGCCGCCGAATGAGGAGCGGTGCAGAATCGGCGGGTCGTGCCCGGACGTCCTCGCGAAGGTTCTTGTCGGCCCAGTAGAATTTAGCGCCCTCGGGAAGTACGGATGGGCCCAAGTAGGGGGCACTGTCCTCGAGACCCTCTTCGGGCAGGGCTTGAAACATTTTCCCGTGGCAGACGTGCGTTGATTTGCGCTTCCGGCTGTTTTCTGAAAACGGCCTAATTTTGAAGGGGTTCTTCAGTACTCTATCGAGATTTAGAAATAGGTTTTCCCCGTTTTTACCACTGAAAAAAAGAAAAACTTGTTTTCGGGGTTGGAAAAACATATTTTTTACAGATTTTAAAAATTAAAAAAAATTCCTACCGCTTCCCCCTCGATTCTTGGAGACGTTCGGCGACCACATGAGGTGCGCCTGGTCAAAGTGGCCTAGCGGCAGCGTTTCCCGCCAACTCCACGCGGCTAGATGGAACTGAAAAGGACATATTTGAAAAGATTTAGTTTAATAACCTTATGTACTACGCATTTGTACCAATCTATTAAAATTCCAAGTTTCAGCGTCTCACAAAAATACCAATATTTCCAAAACCAACCATGTGATCAGCGCTGAACTCTTCAAATTCATCCCTTCGTAGGTGCCGTAGAACATGGGAGTAGACCTTGCGCTCGTCCTCGGAAAGCGATGTGTAGTCGTCTTTTGGCGCTCCCCAATCGGTTAGGAGGAATCGCTGAAAAATACGTTTTTATTAGTTTCAAAATAAAGCTAGTTTCAAAAAACACTCACCCGATCGACACGATCCGCCTTGATCTGCTGCATCAATTCCTCGAATTCGATCTCCACGTCCGGCTCGGCATCCCGGTTCCAAATATCGGCCAGGTCCCCTTTGTGGCGGTGAAGATCGGCGATGATCACACCGATAGCGTTGTGCTAAAAAGAAGTGATTAAGAGGATGGCATCACTTTATTCGGTAGTATTAATGTCTTTTTCTTTACGTATTAATATTTAGCCATAGGCTCACCGTCACTTCCAACGGCAGCTTTCGGAAATCCAAGAATTCAGGGCACAACACAGCTAACAGATTCCTCTTCAGCCAAGCGATGCCATCAAGGTTTTTGTCGATTAGCGTTGTCATTATCTAAAAAAATATAAAGTTTTCGCATTAGAGTAGGTAAGTAGTATTACAACAAATAAAAACTAAAAACGGCAACTTGAAAGACTTGAAGCAATTATGACACCCACTCAGGATTGGCGCCTAATCAAGCGGCAGATGTTTGCCACGCGTTGCCACTGATACGCAGATTTCAAAAAAGTTAACGATCAGCACATTAAAGATATCGATATGGGTCAGTGGTTATCGCGAGGAATAGCTAATCGGCGCATTAATATAAGAGTTTGTTGAAAATACTATGCTATTCGCAAAATTCGAAAAAGACCTTTCTAAAACATTTATTACATCCTCGGCTTTTTCGCTTCGGGCTCTTGTTTAATTTCGTCGCAGAAGACGGCGCCAAGGGAGTCGATGTCGAACACTTCGAATTCTTCTTTGACTTCTTTAACAGTGACGGTTCCTTGGGCTTGTTTGAGCGTCTGAAAAAAGTGTTTGATGATAGAGAGAGAGAGAGGGAGAGAGAGGAGAGCGAAGAGAGATAGACTATATCCTTACCTCGACTTCATCCTGAGTTGCGTTGCACAAAACGACGCCCTCAGCACCAATTTCGAAGACATCAAACTCCTCGTCTTCTTCTTTAACCGGGAGGTTTCGAAGAACAGGTTGAAGGTTCTGAAAAAAATATTTAATAAATGCTGTTAATAATATTCATTCCCTTTGTTGAAATTACCAAAAATCACCTGTTTCTCAGTCGGCCGTACCAACTGTAAAACGTCGGCTTCCCCCTTTCCGTCTGGCCGCCGGAATTCGATGTATTCATGGGTCTTCTCGTCGACCGCAATCTCCCAAGTATCGCACAGATCCAGCGTACATCCACAAGCCCTCCTTCTGCCCTTGCCGACTGGGGCCACCATGAACTGATTGCCGCTGAAGAACCGGCCGTAGAGGAAGCCCTCGCTCAGGAATTCTTCGAAATCTGGAAAAAAGGATTTAGTACATTAACGGGGGGCGGGGCGGAGTAATACTTTTTCTTAATATTTTATTTTGTTAACTAATTTTTATATTATTTTTATTAACTATATCAGAGCTTCTATTAAATTCCGATTGACAAGCTCTAAAATCATTTTTTGAAATTTGGATCAAAAGTTTAAAATTTTTCGAGCATTATAACAACTGTCTTTACAGCTTTTAAGTTATATATATATATATATATATATATATATATATATATATATATATATATATATATATATATATATATTCAGAGTAGAGAAACTTCTAAAAAACTGGAATCAAAGAGTTCGAAATTCTCAATTTTTGGTTGCAAAGGAAAAAAAGGCCTAAAATACAATTAAAATTCTTCAAACCTTCAATGATCAAGCGGCGAATGAGGAGTGGTTGAGCGTTGGTGGGCCGTGCTCGAATGTTCCGCCGAATTTTCAGATCGGCCGTGATGAACTTGGCGCCGACCGGGAGCCTTGACGGGCCCAAATACGGTGCGATTCCTTCGAGGCCGCCCTCCGGGATGACGTGAAAACGGTTCCCTCTGCAGGCATGTCGTGAATCGCGTCGCCGTCGGTATTCTTGGGTGACAACTGAAAAGGAAAAAAATATGCTTTTGTAAAATCGGGGGTGGAGAAACGAATTTTTCCTACAATTCTAGGTGGGCCTAGTAATGTAATAACAAGTATTCTATAATGGTTTTCAGGAAATTTTGCTTTAGGTCAAGTGGAACACCATTTAATATCTCGTATTTTATGCAAAAAAATTGCGAACTTTCTAGCTTTTACGTAAGAAGCGGCGTAGAAAAGGTAATTCTATTTATCTTAGCATGGATCCTCGTAAAGGTTGTTTTTCCCCGATTTTGCTAAATTCTGTTCAAAACAAAATAATAACAATTTTGAGAGCACACCAGTAAAGTAACATTAAATTACCTGGATAATACGCATCCCGATGACATTGTTTCAAGATCTGCGCCTTTTCCTCGGGCGTCACCGGGTGTCTCGTGATGTATTTCTGGTGGATGAACCCGAGTGGAAGCGATTCGCGCCAAATCCAGGTGACCACGTTGAGCTAAAAAAGCAAAAAGTAAGTAAAACGATTCCTAAGAAAAAGCTATCAAAAACCCACCAACTTTTCATAGCACACACCGCTCACTTCGTCGCTCCGTAGCTGGTCCACGATATACGAGTAGACCGTGCATTCGTCGGGCGTCAATTCGGAATATTTTTCCTTGGGTTCTGCCCACTTGTTCATCAGGGCCGCCTGAAGTTAAAGGTATTTACAACGCCTTCCCCCTATTTATCCATATTTTACGCAAACTAGAAAAAAATAAAACAGCGAAAACCGCTAAACCCTGAAAAAGCAAAACCTACTCGATTTTTACGATAAGACATCGTCATCTTCTTCAACGACGCGTATATTGTGACGGGCTCCGATTGGCTGGGACGATTCCAGAGATCCGACAACTCTTCTTTGCTGTAGTACAAATCGTAGACGAGCACACCGGCTGCATTATGCTAAAAAACTTGTTGAAGACGGTGTTGTACAATTCCAACAGTTATTATAACCATTAAATCGTGGAAAATACAATACAGCCCGTGAAAATTATTACCACAGTTTGTGCGGGAACAACTCGAAGGTTCAAGACATCTGGGCGTAACGCGTCGAGAATCTTCTCCCGGAATGCCATCATGGAAGGGGGCTTGTTGGCCATCTCGTGCTGACCTGAAACAAAGCGACATTCAAACCAATTAAATCGATTAAACGGACAGAAAAGTAGCGAATATAGTGGTTTTTGACCTACTACAACAATATACAGATTTTCGAGCCTCATAGAAGGCTTAATTTTTCAAATTTGCTAGCTCTGACTTCAATTTGCCAAATCTGCCGTTGAGGTATTTTTGTTTTGGGTTTAATTTTGTCGAGAAAATCCATACTTAAAGCTAAATTTATCCAAATTATCAAGGTTCAAACCCAAGAGATTCCGGACCGTGGGTGGCGCAGGCGCGAAGGCGGCAGTTACGGTGGAAAGAGCGCCCAACCACAGTCCATGGCAGGCGGGCAGAAAGAGGACGAGCAAGGGATCGGATGTATTCCGTGAATGATGGCTGAAGCACATATATAAAAATATGTTTAGGAAGTATTATAATAAAAATATGCAGTAAGCCCATGTGCTTCTCAAGCTTACCTTTACGGAGTTGTTAATAGCACAGATCGATCAGTTTTGATCAGATTTCCAGCGGCCCACAACAGTTGCGTTTTGAGAGAATCAACGTTTTCGAAAGTCTTTCCCTAAAAAGATCAAATTTAATTTTTATTCAGCTGTAGGTTTTCTCGAGAACTATGACATACAGGCCCGTAAGAGGGGGGGGGGCCCCGAAATCCGCCGAAGGCCGAAAAGTTCATAGGGGACCCTTATGATTACATTTTCCAAAAATTTTTTGCCTGTGGCGCTGTTTTTGGCTATTTTTAACACCAGTTTTAGTGTTATAAACCCTATGTTTTCAAAAATTTTGCCTGCGGCGCTGTTATTTTAGTCATATTCGTGAAACATTTTTGGGATCGCCCCCCGAAATTTGGGTTTATTACGGCCCTGATGACATACCACAACCGCCAATGGGTTCGGTCCAGATGGTTCAAGGGAAAGGGCGTACTGTACGTGTTTTTCGCGCGTTGCGTGCGGGTGCGCGGAATAGCAACCGCTTTTTAGCTGCCCAGGCCCCCAATTGCGCGACGCGTCTATCGCACGTGTTGCGGTCTTCCCTTCTTCCCAAAGCTACCGGACGTTCTATTAGGGGCCGGACCGCTGCGATACCTCATCCATATGATTTTGTTACGCAAGACAATTCCTTGAATTGATCGAATTAGCCGGTGGGGCGGAGTGATAAGCACATGGCCATTTACCCTATTTCTGATTGCGACCCCTTATTCAAGGTTGCATAGACCTGACTTGGTCCGTATAAAGTTGGATTTTAGTGGCCAATTCTACGGTATTGTAGCGAGGATCGGCTTTATTTTCGGGAAGGGTCGAGCCTCCCACCAAATCCGCACGAGAATGGTGTGGTATCCATCAGATTTTGCTTTCCACCACGATCACGAGATTTATGGGAAAACTGACAGCCGTTATGTGCTGATTGATAAGACAATGTTGGTGAAGATTGCCGTAATTTGCTAGATTCTCCTTCTACTAACCCGAAATTAATATTTTACAGGGCGACCGTCTGGAAAATCTACACGCTGCCGGAGAAACAAGGGTCGGAGATTCCCATTAATACCAGACATTTCGAGCGCGAGAAGCAGCGAAACCAGGAGCTGCGTTGCAAACCTCACGAAAACCTGATGCTGATCAAGGAAGAAAATAGGATTCAAAAATTCCGGTGTAAGGCTGACGGAAAGCAGTATGGCGTGCTGATATTCGATTTTCTGCCGTATACCCTGGAGAAAGGTAAGGTTATAGGCGTACGCTTCCAACAGTGCATAGTTATGCACGTAGAGAGATGAGGCAAAAAGAGCGACAGGCAGACGCTATTAAAGGGCGTTAGTCGTACGTCCCAGTACCCGGGCCACAGCATTCCGCCCTTTGCCAGTTGTGTTCTTTTGACCGGGACAGGATGGCAGGCATACAGGGGAAGGGAGAATCTGCACTCTGGTCCCGCCCCCTATTCTCTTCCCCCGTGCCCTATAGTCTAGCCTCACTCTTTCGCCGCCTATTCCGCGCCCCACCCCTCCCCTGTGTGTCTGCACCCCGCCGTCTGGCGCACTATCCGCCGGCCTACTCACGAACACCGCGGAATCATGTGCGGGCGTGCATCTGCGCTTTCCGGGACGTAATTCCGGATTTTCTATATCTATGCTGTTAGCCATCGCTAGGTCAGCTTGCTTTTGAAAGCGAGTTGTTCTACACGCTGCCTGACAACGCGTTGACAATTGCTAGCCGTTACGTATCCAGTAAAAAATTAATGACGCCATCTCCAAAATTGATTAGCAGGGCATGCTGACGTAGTCGTTATCGGACCACGTGACCACGTCACTAGGTGGAAGGACCCCCCCCCCATGAGATTCCCTGGCCGCCACTACGCGTGACAACGCGGGCGCTGCTTACAATTAGCTGTATTCAGACCCAACCATCGATCAACTTTCAAGTTCCGCATTTAGTTATCTGAGAGCCGTCAATAAATTACACGGACGATGGTGTGGCAACATTGGCCTACCAAATGCTTTCGGGTATCAGCCATCTACACGAGCTGAATATTGCGCATCGCGATATCAAACCGGCAAACATCTTCATCGACAAGAATGGAATCGTGAAGATCGCCGACTACAATATATCCCTCAACGAAGGATCCGGATGCTTGGGCAGCGACACGGGAACTTTGCGATATATGCACCCGCGACAGCTGTTCGAGAGCGAGGTATGTAAGTGTGAAATGGAGTTATTGAGCAGGGATATACATTTCCTAGGGTAATAAAGACTCTATAAAGTAGTAGTAAAGGTAAAAATAAATTCGATGGACTTCCACATAAAGAGTCCTCGCTTTCAGCATGCTTTCTTGTTTTCAGTGCCATCGTCAAGACGATCTATGGTCGCTTGGGGTTGTTTTGTGGGAGCTTGTTACCAGGAGGTAACTTCTTAACAATAACCGCACTAACCCTTCTCTAGAAAATGTTTTGAAGAACTGCAAAGGTCGGAGCTTCAGGAATTTTATCAAAATGACCAGCTAAACGTTCCGCCACTCGGCGGGAACCATTTCATCCTTAAAATAATCGAATAGTATAGTTTGCTCGTTACGAAACCTTATCGGTATCTCCGTTGCTGCCAGCCGAAATCGACCGAACTGTGTGCGAAGCAAGCGAGCGAAATGTTAAACGAAGCCTTGAGAAAGGTTTGGTAGCCAAAAAACGCAACATTGTTCCTTGTAGAAGGGGCGCAAGCTGTCCGCGAGTTTCCAGACATTCGCTAGCGGCAGCCACGAAATCCGCCCGCCAGTCGGGTTGGAATCGGTCTACATCAGCGAGACGCCAATCTATCGGGAGTTCAGAAATCGCGGGCCATCATTCAGCAACCAGGCAACCGAGGCCGATTTTGATTTTGAGCAATTTGACCCCGCCGCCCTTGCGCAGGAGCTCTATGGCTATGTAGGCTTTTCAAATTTTAATTTTACAAAGTTGTATGCCATATTTGGCTACGGTTTACTGTACCCCCAGCCGGAAGGTTTTGGCTATAAACTCTTTATTTTACATTATTGTAGGCTCAAAATAAAAATATTAGTGTATGTCTCGACGCTCTATCGGATGGCGTTGAAAAAAATCCCGAAAAATGATGAAAATACGGCATATTTAACAGAAAAATATCTTTCCCCAAATTTATGTAACGATGCAACGCATTAATGGTTTTCCAGGTACCAGAACGCAACGAAGAAAGGTGGATGTTCGTATCCCATGCGCCCCGGATCGTCCGGAAATGGTTGAAGTGGTTCTGACATTACGAAATTCCCATGCAAAAATGTTTCGTGTCGTAATTTTACGGGAATCAGACTTGCTTCGCGTGGTCGGCCCTTTCCTTTCCTGGTTCTCGCCTGTACATATGATGTAATATCTGCTAGCATGAGTGCACGCCGGATTGTTTTGCTTTGTGCTATTTATTCCCTCAACCGCTGCTGTAACCATTTAAATCCTTGGCCATAGCCTTGTCTTGCTACGATTGACGTCATGAACACTTCTAGCGGTCTTTCGGGCAGGCTGGCTTCTGAAGAAGGGACATAGCTTTTAATGAATGTATTTAAAAACTAAAGGTAATGCTCAAGAACAGTTCTATATATCGTTTTTGCGAAATTGAAGCTACATAAATCGACTCAGCTTACCTTTCCCAGTACACATTTCCTCCAGCCCAAACTGGAAAATGATTTCGTGCTCGTCGACCGCATTCGGGCGATCGATTTTGTTGGCCAGGATTAGGATCGGGATCTCTGGGATCTAAAAAAAAAGGCTTTATCTTTTAAAAGGTTAGTTATACCCTAACGTCCTCCAAAATCGGTTTCATCCATTCTTTCGCTTCCCCAAATCGCGCTTTATCCGTAGCGTCGATCAAAAATATTATGGCATCAAAGGTAGGAAGTTGGGCTTTGAAATTTCCGCCAGCTGTAAAGGTGAATTACGAATTTTCAGGACCTTATTTTGATACTAAACTAAAGACTAAAACCAGCTAATTTTGCTAGAAAAGCAGTTTTTCAAAACTAGTCGACCCAACGATATGAAAAAAGCTTATAACAACTTACGTAAAGGCATGCCACCCAAATCATAGACATGAATATGAAATTCATCAAAGATCAACTGCTCCCCGACTAAAAAAAATAAAATATCAGTATTACCGTACTAACTTACAAGTCGCCCGGATCCCTGGAGGATTTTCGAGCCTTTGCGCCTTTGGCTCATCAGCGAGCATATGGAGTAGCGTCGATTTCCCAGAATTATCCAATCCGGTCAGCAAGATCTTGTAGTGACATTTGAAGCCTAAAAGTCACGAAATACAGAGACTAGGAAAACCTTAAGTTTAATGACAATGATTTTTTGTTTAATTGACGTTGCAAAAAGCCCGACAAAAATCCCGAAAATACCGAAAATTTGGAGGCACTTTGGCTGCGGGCTGCAAAAATTTGTTTATTTTAACTTTAATTTAGCTTTTTGGTTAGGAAACCTTTTAAAGCTTATAAAATTCATTTTCGCAAGGTTTTTCTTCTAATAAAAATCTTCTTAAACTCATAAGACATTTATAATTTTATTTCAGCTAAACTCGGCTTCAAAACCTACCCAAATACATCAACAGCGCCATCCACCAATCCCAGATCCATTCAAACATTGCGTGAAAAGGTCCGCAAAGGTAAGAAAAAGCAGATGCAAAATGGAATTAGTAACTCCTCGGCCTCAAGTCCACCATTTTAAGCAAAAACCTGGCCAACAAAAAGACTCCACCTCATTCCGGGACACCAATGTTGTGCCACGTGTCGAAAAGAGTGAGGGCAAAGATGCGGTGAGGGGAGAATGAGTCATAATTTGTTTGCACGGGGCGTTGCCAAGGGAAGCATTTAGAGCCTTTGCAGGCGTGTCATGTTATGGAAAGCATCGTAAGTCTCGAACGGAAATCGATGCTTTATTGGGTTGAAATGATTTGATACATGCACCATCGGACTAACGCTTTTATTTCCCAACGCAGTATGAGTTAAGGATCATTTTCCGTAAATTTCACATATCATCCCGACGTCATATCGCCAGCCATACCGCTAACAACAACCGAGCAATTGCACGTCATCGGCTTCGTCAGACAGGCCACCTAAAATTAATATCGATCGATGCCTTGGGACCAAAACATGGAAAGTTTTTTTGCGCATAAAGTACTTTAGACGTTCCCATGAACCGCGTCTCTACCCTCCTGCCTCGAACTGTAACCATGCTACGGTACTAGGTACACGTACCGTGGACTTGTCCCTGAAGCTTTGGTACCTCGCCCAGTACTTTGGGAGTTTCGGGTCGGCGAGGTCGAGGAGCCAGCCGACATACGAGCGGGCTTTCATATTCTGAATTATAGATTTTGCATGAAACGCGTTCCCCCCTCCCCCCCTCTCTCTCTCTCCCTCCCCCCCCCCCCCCCCCCCCCCCCCCCCCCCCCCCCCCCCCCCCCTCCCCCCCCTCCCCCCCCCCCCCCCCCCCCCCCCCCCCCCCCCCCCCCCCCCTCTCTCTCCCCCTCTCTCTCCATCTCCCCCTCTCTATCTCTTACCCCCCCCCCCCCCCCCCCCCCCCCCTCTCCCCCCCCCTCTCTCCCTCTCACTCTCTCTCGCCCCCTCTCTCCTTTCTCCCCCTCTTTTTTTATCTTTTTCCCTCTCCCTCTTTTTTTCAATCATACAATTTTCTTTTTTCTCTTTCCCTTTCTCTCCTTTTCTTTTTTTTTTCTCTTTTTCTCTCCTTTCTTTTATTTATTTTTATCTTTTTCTTCTCTCTCTCTCTCTCTCTCTCCGTCTCTCTCTCTCTTACATTGAACAACTTCTGCAGCATAGCGTTATTGTTCAGGACTCCGGTGATGACCGTACAAATCTGGTTCATAACCTGCGTCACGTCGAGCTTGTTGCACCACTTCTTGTAGGCGGGGACGATCTGGATAAAGTTTAGGTATATACAGGTTCAAGCAAACTACATATTTCAAAACGCCTAAGCACAATCGGAATGAACCGTAAGCTTAGTCTTTACCGACGAGTTATACAGCGGCTCCAGCGTCTCCTTGGCGCCACACGCCAGCGCGGTGCCGATTTTGTCGATGTCGTAGCCTTTGGACTAAAAGGGTTTTTAACCAAAACCAGGGTTGAAAAACCGCTGCGGGCCCAACCCTGGCCCCTCAGGACCGATGAAAGTCAATTGCATGCTCTTCCTGAAATCTATCAGGAAAAAAGTGAAAAACGCCTTCTATGTCGCTTTATATAGGCTATCCCACTTCCGGCTTATGCTAATTGATACCTAACAAGAGGGTGGGCGAGAATTTACAAAAATTTGTTTTTAATAGCTAAAATAGCAAGTTTTCAAAGATTTTATGTGCGTACAGTCGATTCCGGACCCTTCTTTACCTAATGACGTTTCTGCCCAAGCGAAAAAATTTTTCCCTGAGGCTGTAGGTGCGGAATATCCAAACGGAAGTACTCAAATGCACACAATACATATTTTTATATATGTGGATCTCTCCTTAACTTACCTGGCACGTGCCCATCACCGCCGTGGCGTCACCCACAAGCTGCGCGCACAGCGCCGGCTCGTTGGCCATCGCGCACGACATTAGCGTGGGCAGGTTGTCGCTGGTGTAGTTGATGAGCACTAAAAATATCAAGCGCTCAAGGAGTCGTTTTAAGACATACGATTCCCAACCTCGCACATTGTCGGAGGGTTGCAGTTCTTGCGGGATTTGATGAAGGCGACGATCGCGGCGGGAGCGCCGGAAGCGAACTGGAAGAAAAGCTATCTGTTTCGTTCCCTCATTCCCTCTCTCTCGTTCTCTGCTTCTCTCTCTCTCTCTATGTCTCTCACTCTAGGTTGCTAGTTTCTCTTTCTCTCTCTCTCTCCTATATCACACCCGTTCTCTGTCGCTCCCCCCCCCCCCCGCTCTCTCTCTCTCTCTCTCTCTCTCTCTCTCTCTCTCCCTTTCCCCCACTCTCTTTCGCTTCACGCTCTCTCGCTCTTTATATCTCGCTCTCTATCTCTCGCTCTCTCGCTCTCTCTCTAGCTCTCCCGCCCTCTACTGCTCTCTCATCCGCTCTCTCTCTCTCATGCTCTCTATCCGATCGATTCGAAAACTCACACCCCACATTGTCTTCTTCGACACAAGTGGCTTTCCCAGGGCCTTCAGAATAGCGTCCATGGCAGCACCGCATTTCGTCGGAGGCGTATCCGATGGACAGTTGGCGGCTTGGCAAAGGGCCAAGAGTCCGGAGGCCAACAAAACTGTTGTGAGGAGCCTCGCGTTCATACCTTGAAAATTTTAGCATTAAAGGACGGAGAATTCAAAAGTTGCGTGGTCGGGGATCGAATCCCGTTGTCAAAAACTAATGGAGCCGTAGTGTAGCGTATCAAAAAAGGTTAAAAACTAGGTCCTGATAACCAGAAAGCATACTGTAGTTTTATAGGGTCCGAACATCGGTGGTCGCGCTGATGATCTAGGCTATATACACGCGCCCTCTGACCGGATAATCTCTTGGCAGTCCAATTAAAACACGATATTTTGTAGTCCCCAGGCTGATGATCAGACTGCCCCTCGAGTGCATGGGAGAGCAGAACAATTTTTTTGCTCCCAAAAACCAACAAACGATCACGATGTGTTGTGGGAACAGAATACGGACTCGTTGAACTTGTGACAAGGTAAATTACCCTCGTATTGCAAAAATTGATGAAAAATTGTATAGCTGAAAATCCCGAAAGTCATAATACCGACAGCGGAAATACCTACCGCCAAAATGCCGACATGTAAAATAGATAACTAACAGAAATTGACATTCAAAGTCACATCATTAAAAATGTTCCATGTTTCAACATCGCCAATTACCGTATTCTAGGCTTACGGATGCCGGCATCTTGTCCTGTTCCTATCTTGGGGTCGGGAGTTGCGCTGTCGGGTGTATGGCTATCGAGATTTTGACAGGAATGGTAGCAGGTCCGTTGCGGTCTTACATTTTCCAAAGAATCACCGGAGAATATATGGCTTCCAGGAAAAACCAGTCGTTACAAGACACTTAGCAGACGCGTTGCGTGTTTTTGGAGACAACCAACAAATGTTCCAGCATAAAAAAACGATATACGCAACGCGTAGGAATGCGTCCCCATGCCCTAAAAATCACCTCAATCGAGATACTTGACTAGATAGATAAAAGTTTCGTACCAAAGTTTGTTCAGCACTATTTTTGATGCTCGTTCAGGTGCAAATTGAGTTGCGTATTGCAGATGCCCGTTTGGCCCCGGTTACGCCTTGAAAGGTAGCGTACAGTTGCGTACAACGTACAGTTACATGGATATACGCGCTGCGTAGCCACATTCAAGATTTTCGTGAAGTCGTCTTTCATTTGCATTATTTGTGCACTTCCCGAAGGAAATGCGTTCCAAAATTTGTTCGAGACACTCGTGGAGGTCTCGGGGTTAATGCTAACCTCAAACTTGGGTAATTAAACCGAAGCTGTCATTGGCAGGCCGCTCTTACCATCTGCATTGGGTCCAGGTGAGCGACTTTTCCCTTGCGGCCACTTGCTGAAACAGTATGATTTTCCAAGTTTCGAAAAATCATAGCAACCATACCCATCACACCAACCACACTTGCGTATCGCAGATGCCCGTTTGGCCCCGGTTACGCCTTGAAAGGTAGCGTAAACCCCGGCACCGTACAGTTGCGTACAACGTACATACGCGCTGCGTAGCCACATTCAAGATTTTTGTAAAGTCGTCTTACGTTTGCATTATTTGTGCACTTCCCGAAGGAAATGCTTTCCAAAATTAGTTCGAGACACTCGCGGAGGTCTCGGAGTTAATGCTAACGTACAAAATCACGTACAACGTATAGCAAAGGCGTCGCAATGACTAGAAGTTTTCAGCTTTTCCTAGAGCTTGAATTGCTCACCGATGATACCTTACACAGAGTTTCCAGACTTTCGGCTTTTAACTAAATACTGCGTTTTGATTGTGGCTCCAAAAATCTCACAAATCCCGTTATCCAAACAAACATTCTAGTCCCTCGATTCCAACTTCAAACGACTTTGTTTTTGCCTCCCCTCCGGGCTGCCATTGTGTGTCCCCAACTCTTCAAAAGCCCCCCGTAAAAAATTTCAAAGCGTCGGGCGGGGGCACAAAGTGAATCCGGCAGATTCCTCAACACGGACTCCCCGGTTGGAAGTAAGCATGAGAGTAAGAGAAAAAGAAGAAAAATAGGAATGTCGTCTGCCCCGTCATTCATCAGGGCCCCCACGGGACAGCTAGGGAAGGGGGGTGGACTGAATTCTTCTTCTTTTCCTCCATTTGAGCTTCTTCCCTTTTTCACTCAACTTCAGAGACTGCCGTCGGCGTCTTCTATGACAACTTCTTGTGCGCGGGACGCCTTCAATGGAATCGAGGCCGTGAAACAAAGAGCGGAAAAAGAACGATAACCAACTTGGTCTTGGCGGTTGTCAAACTTTTTGGGAAATGTTGCCCAAATTTTGGAAGTTTGGGAGGTGCGATCTTTAGTTTTGCTTCTACCTGGCAGCGGTTCGTTAATAAAATATACATAAAGTAATATAACAGCTCATAAACGTCCGCTCATCTCTCTCACTCTCTCACTCTCGTTCTCGTTCTCTCTGGCGCTGTCCGTTTCTTTATCGCCCTCTCTCGTTCTCTTTTATGTTTCTGACTTTCTCTCTATCTCTCGCGCTCCCTATCGCTCGCTCCCTCTCTCTCGCTTTCGCTCTCTCTCTCTCTCTGCTCTCTCTGGCTCGCTAGCTCTCTCGCTTACCGTGAAATTGTCTGGATATCCGTAGCGATGCAACTTACGTTTTTCATGCGCCAAAAAAGTACCCACTCGGCTCAACTTACCCGATCCAAGATCACACCTCCAACCCCCAAGACCCAAATGTTTAGACAAAATTGACGGGTGATCCATCTGTCTGGCCCCTTTAGCGCGTAAGGGACTAGTAGACACAACGGGGGGAATCCCGTTAGCCCCCATCGCTCAAACGATAACACAACATGTGATGGGTGTACCCCATCCATCCCTGGCTATCAACCCCTGGACATGGCGAGTGTGTTACACATTTTGGTGTTCCAGTTTTTTTTCCCGGCCAGGCTCGTGAAATCGGAGAGTTTTCGGGAAATGGCGGGGCTCAAAATAGCGGATCTGATCGACAGACGGGATTTGGGTTACTGTGGTTTTCATGGAATTTTTTTAGTCTCATTCTTTTAGTTCTTGCTCTCTCTCCCCCTTTCTGTGTCTCTCTCTCTTCTTTCCCCCCCCCCTTTCCTCCTCCCTCCCTCCCTCTCTCTCTGGGCTCTCTCTCTTTCTCTCTCTCTCTCTCTCTCTCTCTCTCTCTCTCTCTCTCTCTCTCTCTCGAAATTCCAATATCTGAAATTTTGCTGATTTGTGGCCAGCGTAACCTGAGGAAGGTCAAATCCACTTTTAAAAACTTCTCTCCTGAATTTTCAAGCCCACCAAGGCAGAATTGGAGAAGATACCCTGCCGATGCAAAAAGACCATGCGCCAGAATTCATCAGCCTTCATCAGGAGCGATCATGCATGAATTAGCCACAGCCATCCCCAACTTCCCCCCAACCTTCCGATGCCTACATCTTCGGAATTCCGCAAAAAGCTTCCTTGCAACTTTGGGGGATGGAGTGATTTGGAGATCCTCTGTTTTATCTCGACCGGAAATCATAGCTTTGCACACCCATTGCTTCGGAAAATAGGGTCTATCTTTGTCACTCTTTCCCTTCCTCCTGTTTCTCTTGCTTTTTTACTATCTCTCTCTCTCTCTCTCTCTCTCTCTCTCTCTCGCTATCTCTATCAATCTTTCTCTGATTAAATCCTCCCGATAGCATAGATGAGCTTGCGCCCATTTTAAGAGTTTCATAAGGTGCTTGCTATAAAAGTAGCGGGACTACATTCCTAAAGGTTTTTTGCTTTCATCCTTTGTAAGTTACCGTTCTTACCTTGAGAACATCCGAAAACCGCAAGAACTCACCAAGACCTAGACTATCGTTACGCTCGATTTTTCTTTTTCCAAATTCATGACCCCGCTTCGTTTTGCCAAGCCTCTGTATCCGGGACACTTCCGGGAGTGGGACACGTACCCAGCGGACGGCCATAAATTTCAGTAGATCTACCCCCGCACCCGGGGTCGGCATCACCAACCCACCCGGGTTAGGTCGGCTGGTCCACCCGAGAACGGCTCCCCGGGGATTTAAAAACGATTTCGATATTTTTTTCCTTGAGAAGTCGGGTGGGCCATTTCCTAAAATGCGCTCAGGAGCGAGAGAGAGAGAGAGAGAGAGAGAGAGAGAGAGAGAGAGAGAGAAAGAAAAGAAAACCCATTTTTGCCATTTCGAGCCTTAAGGAAGTGTGCCGAGTTGAGTTGCATAATATCCATAGTGGGCCCCTTGAGAGAGGGTGGGGAGGGCACTTTTATTTTTGACATTGACACGTTGGGTGCGGGATGCGGTTCGTCGGGTGATGGGCTCCAAAGAACATTTCCAGGAAATTTTCCGGAAAGCCAGCATTTTGAATGGCAACATTTTTGGGTGCATGGCCCAGAGGATTGTATCATATTCAAGGTTCGGCCCAACATTAAAAATTGATTGTAGACACCAAAAACCGCAGAAATTAATGAGAGACTGGGACTTCCCTGGGCTGTTGTCGGTTTAGAAAATTAAATTAAATTGCAGAAAATTTAAATCAAAAGAAGCTTGAACCTACTGTCTTGCAGGTAGTTTAAAGGGATAATTAATTCCCCAATTCTTAAATTTTCGCTCCCTCCATCTCTCTCTCCCTCCCGCTCTCTCTCTCCCTCTCTTTCTTTCACTCTCTCTTTCACTCTTCCTGTCTCCCGGTCTCTCCATCTGTCACTCTCTCTCGCGCGCTCTCTCTCGCTATCTCTCTCTCTCTCTCTCTCTCTCTCTCTATCCTTATGGCTCGTCGGGTCAGCCAAGCCAAAAAATTTCTTTGAAACTTAGATCGGTATCCGTTCATTGAAACGCTGTTCCAGGCGTTCCAACTATTTTTTGGAGAAACTTAGTGCAGAAACTCTGTTCTTGAAGGACTTCAAAGAAAACGGAACTCCCCCCCCCAGGCCGATTGCCTTTCGTTAATTCCATTTTCTTTTTTTTGGCAGGAAGTCCTATTCTGTCCTTTTCGTGTTGATGAGTTCAGAATCGATAGGAACGGAAGGAACTGAATAGAAGATGTATTTAAAACCAAAATTCCCTACGTGCTTTAACCCCACATTTTACCGTTGGCAAAAA